TCACTTTATGTTGTCACTTCTGTGCATTTTCCAAACTAAGTTCACTATGTTTCTCACTCCTGAATAAATTAGTTATCAATTCAAAGTTGTCACTATGAAAATGAAAAGAGAGGTGATGAGCACTGTATTTTGGATTGCTTATAGGGAATGATTGAGGCAGAGATCTTCGAAGGAAAAGTTAGATTGAATGTCAGAAGTGGAGTGAAATACAGGACTATGAGGAGAAGCCCGGGCACTGAGAATAGATTTGCACTGATGTAAAAAAAGAGCTGATAGACAAATGGGCTGATTCAGTTTTATCTACACTATAAACCTATATGGTTCTGATTTTTAATGCATCTACATAAATGTGCGGGAGAAATGTAATACTCTGAAATACTTTGAAACAAAATTGGAATAATCTAAAGGAAATTGTGGGTAACATTTACAAGCTTAACACATTTTAATGCCAATTTATTTGACAGTGTGGCCAGTACATGCCTGGTACAAATTGCTGTGCTTTATCATTTATAAATTATAGTAATCTGCTATCTAGTAAAACTCTGAACTGTTTCCAACTGTCAGCTGTGAATTTTAGAAAACCAAAGTAACTGGAAAAATAAGCTGCTAACTGTTAAATAAGTCTAAAAACAATGTTTCTGGCATGTTTGTTGGATAAACATTGTGGCTGAGATGTCAGGAGTTATTCACCACCTGATTCTCAAGAGCTTGTCCACTATCTTACAAGGCACAAGTTAGGAGAGTGATAGAATACTCTCCATTTGCTTGAATAAGTGCAGTTGCACAAAGATTCAAGCTTGACAGCATCCAAAACATTATTCCTCAACCCACCAACTTAAATATTTGCTCTCTCCACATTTGTGGCAGCAGGGTATACTATCTACAATAGGCCCCAAGAAGACCTTCCACATCAAGCAGATGTTCACTTGCACATCTGCTAATGTGGTATACTGTATCCGCTGTTCCCAATGTGGCCTCCTGTACATCGGGGAAACCAAGCAGAGGCTTCGTGACCACTTTGTGGAACACCTCCGCTCGGTTCGCGACAAACGACTGCACCTCCCAGTCGCGATCCATTTCAACTCCCCCTCCCACTCCTTGGACATGTCCATCCTGGGCCTCCTCCAGTGCCACAATGATGACCCGAAGGTTGCAGGAACAGCACCTCATATTCCGCTTGGGAACACTGCAGCCCATTGGTATCAATGTGGACTTCACAAGCTTCAAAATCTCCCCTCCCCTTCCGCATCCCAAAACCAGCCCAGCTCATCCCCGCCTCCCTAACCTGTCCGTCCTTCCTCCCGCCTATCCCCTCCTCCCACTTCAAGCCCCACCCCCACGTCCTACCTACCAGCCTCATCCCGCCTCCTTGACCTGTCCGTCCTCCCTGGACTGACATACCCCACCCTAACTCTCCACCTATCTTCTCCTCTATCCATCTTCCATCTGCCACCCCCTCTCCCTATTTATTTCAGAATCCCCTTCCCCTCCCCCATTTCTGAAGAAGGGTCCAGACCCGAAACGTCAGCCTTCCTGCTCCTCTGATGCTGCTTGGCCTGCTGCGTTCATCCAGCTCTACACCTTGTTATCTCAGATTCTCCAGTATCGGCAGTTCCCACTATCTCTATACAATCTACAAGATGCATTACAGCAACTGTCAAAGCTCCTTCAATAATCCTCTCTTCCACCTGGAAAGAAGAAAGGCAGCAGCTGCAAAGGAACGACACCACCTCAGTCACAAAATTCTGAGTTGATAATATATCTTTTGTCATCAATTGATTAAAATCCTGGAACACCCTAACTACTGTAGAAGTCTCGGAGATAGCAAGAACTGCAGATGCTGGAGTCAGAGTCAATACAGTGTGGAGCTGGAGGAACACAGCAGGTCAGGCAGCAACAGAGAAGCAGGAAAGTTCATGTTTCAGGTCGGCTTAAGTTTAAGTCCTGACCCGAAACGTTGATTTTCCTGCTCGTCTGATGCTGCCTGACCTGCTGTGTTCCTCCAGCACCACACTGTACTGTAGAAGTCTCTTAATAGACTGCAGCAGTTTAAGAAGGTGGCTAATCAGTCTTCTCGAGGGCAATCAGGAATGGTCTGTAAATGCTGTCCTTGCATAGTAACTTGTAACAACTTAACTTGGCAGCACTGAATTAAAATTATTCAATCTTCTTTGATGGAAAGCCAGTAAAGGCCATTCCTGGTGTAGCATTATAAGTAAGAACAGTTTTAATTTAGTAAATGGTCTCAAGATGCATTTCAAAACAATATCTGAGACCAAACCACATGAGATTAGATGACCAAAAGCTTGATCAGAGATGTGGGTTTTAAGGATGATCTTAAGGATGGGAGGTAAATAAGAAGAATGGCTTAGAGGGAATTCAAGCCTTCAAAGCAGAAAGCATTGCTGCTGCCAGTGGTGGAGCAAATAAATGAGGGAAGAGGCCAGAATTGGAGGTATATAGAGATTTTAAGGCGATCTAAGTCTGGAGGGCTTTACAGAGATAACCAGGAATGAGGCCACACAAGGTTTGTAAACATGAATGTGAATTTTAAAGTTGGGGTATATTCAATAGGGAGCTAGAAATACAGGGCTAAAGAAGGAACAGGACATACTGAGAGATTAAGAAGCACAAGCAGCAGATTTTTGAATAAACTCCAGTTTGTGTAGGGGATAGTCAGAAGAGTATTAGAACAATCAAATCTAGAGGGAACAAAGGCATGATTGAGGGTTTCAGCAGAGGCTGAGGCATATGCAGTCAGGGAGATGTTCCAGAGATGGAAATAGATATCTTGGTGATGGCACAGGTTTGTATGTTGCTGTCACACACAACACCAAAGGTGCCAATGCAATGGATGGAGTACTTGGCTAGAAATGGTGGGCACTAAAGAAATAGCTTCAGTTTTTTATTTACACAAATTTCTACAGTTCTAAATATCGAACAGTGCAACAGTTGAAAGTCACTGGAGAGGTTGATCAGGCAGAGCTGATTATTATCCGCGTATATGTGGGATCTGAGGGCTCTCGTGACACAGTTGTAGTGTCCCTACCTCTGAACCAGGTGGTCTAGGTTTAAGTCCAACCTGCTCATGAGGTGTGTATCTGTGGGATCCAACTGCTATTGTGCCACATTGGTAACGAATCAAGCCATATCTGCTTTGGAGGTGTGTAATAACATCTCTGAATAGGTTGATTAAATTATCTATATGCAGGATCTGATTTGTTTTCAGATGATGTTGCTGAGGAGTTACGTGGCAATGAGATATAGGAGAAGGCCAAGGATAAGTGTAATTGAGATGCATGCAGTTTTATGAGCCAACCTATTTAAGTGGCATGGCAGTGACGTTAGCCTTGTTGCTACTTACTTCCACCTGGATTGCTCCTGTTGCAGTGCAACCATTGCACCCCTGTGAAAATTCTAAACTCACCCTTGATGAGTTGATAAGCTCATTAACAGATCAATTGGCTAGCCAAAATTGCCAACAGCCATCAATATTCATTCCCATAGTCACTTGCTTCCACACCTCTGAATGGACATAAAATCCTGCTCCTGGTTTAAGAATCAGAGGGTGGTGACTTTTAAGCCTTAGACTGTGTAGATGCAGGAATCCCCAGTTTAATAAATTACTGACCAGGCAGCATTACTGAATACAGCATACTTTGTTCTAACTAGCTCTCTCAACAAACAGGCAAAAATTATATCCCTCAAATACCATGGAGTTTACTGCATTATTCTGCCCAATTATATTTTTAAAATTCTTACCTCACTGTAAATATACTTGTTCAAACAAATGGCCATATGAAATATCAATAGTTGATTCAATTACACCTTCAATACTACTGCAATGTCTCAGTAGTCATTTGAGGGTGTGATTGAGAAGGCTGCCATAAATAAAAATTACCAGGAGACAAAGTTGTATTATGAGATTTATACTGTGGATAAAGTATTACAGTGATGTGTACACTCCCTGCATGTCAATTCTATTACTCCACGTGTGTTTTTACATTGATTGATTATATGGACCACTTGATTATCCATAATATTTCATCAACCGGCATACTCTGGGTCAGCAGCATTTGCGGGTTTTCCCTTCCAAGTGACAGCCCACAAATGATCCATTTACTAAATTCAGTTTAACAACTCGAGCAGAATTTGAACCTAGCAGATTGTGGTACTGAGAACTTCTGAGTACGATAGCACATGGTTAGCTTATAACACACCAGGAAGAAACCTTTAAACAATGTTGATGGCCAGGAAATCCAGGTATGCCTTCCTAAACAATCCTGGTGCCTGATCAGGTCCTTAGTGGACTTCATACCACTTCATTCAGGCAACATGTTTTAAAACGTAATGTTGATATAGTTGGATGTAGACCTTGTTTTTCTGACAGCAGGTATCATTTAGGCCGTTTAGTGTTTTTTTTTGCTCAAGTTCAACTAACGCTATGCATTAAACAGTAGGGAAGGCTTGAAATTCAAACCCTAAAAAACAAGACAGTAAGTACTGAACTTAGTTCCAAAAGTATGTATATGCCTTACTTTTAAATATAATAATGCATGTGTGGTTCAATAGTATCCCACAATAATACGATAAGCCGCTTGATCGTTCGGTTCAGAAATCTTGCTGAGATTTGTCTACATGATTACCACTAACTGGGACAATGTGGATAGCAATCTCCTATGGCAGTTCAAAAGCATCTTGCATTTATATATAAACTTAAGTTTTTCAGAATGAGTACCACTGATTGACAAACCATGAAAATAGAATTGAACATAATATCCAATTGTTTTGTGTTGACAAAAGCGTAGAAAGTTAGGCATTATAATTTGAATATGGAAATTAATGTATTTTTCTTTTTTTCAGCTTATTTTCAGGAATTGTCCCCAGAGTAACATGGATCAGTCTTGGTGGTTTTCTTTTTCTAGGAACCTATGATAAATTGCACAGGTTGCTTCTATAATCACGATCAAGAATGGAGATAGAATAAGCAGTGAAGTTGATTTTGTATTATAAATGATTTTTATTAGACATCTTTGTTAGACACTTCTATATTTTAACAAATCGTATAAATAAATATTTGTGCAGAGAAGTAACACTTCTTTCCTCTGTTTGCCTCCATTGAGCAGCTTTGCTGTGTCCTTTCTGGCAATGTTTAATAGTCACACAATTGTACCTATTGTGTTTGAGGCAGATTCAGCATGGAGAATATTTACTTGAAGGGTAACATTATTTCAATAGAATTTTAACTTAATTCCAAGATCTTAGTTCTTTTACATTTGTTTGCAATTTCTGCAACTGATTAGTGTTTTTTACTGTGATCTCTAAGGAACAAAATTGGCAAGTAGAGACTACAGCAAACAATATTTGGTTAACACAAATGTTATTTTTTCTAATAATGCAGTTTACGAGTTTTTCAAAATCAACAACTAACAAGAACTCTTTTCCAACTGATCTGGACACAGTACATATTTCAATTTCTCCAGTGTCCTAGTGGCTGATAACAGACACAGTCCTCTATTTCGCAGTCACAGAATTTAAACTTGAGCTTTAATGGCAATGAGTAACTTTTCTATAATTTCTATACCAAACTACAAAGGAAATAACACTGGAGAAATGTACTTAGCTAATGGCTGTAAGACCCTTGTCAAATAATGTAAAGCATTTCCCTAGAAATGTCATGTCCAGTATGGTAATTATATTCAGTGGAAGGGTAAGTGTGTTTATACAAGTAATTACTTTCATTATGACCCTTTGCAATAAGGCACCAGTAGGTTTTGCAATATTTAAGAACAGCAACCAACATAACCAAGAGAAATAGTTTCAAAATTCTAAAAAGTTATTCATGCACTAAATAGGTTTAAAATATCTTCTGCAAGAGAAACATACAGAAACTCATATACAAACATATAAAAGCACAACATTCCCTTATGTACATTATGCCCTGCATTTACATGCTTTAAATGCAAGTCAACTGTTGATCTACAAATACTTCCTATGGAAGCTTAAAAATATAAACAATTAAAGAACGCTCAAATAGGATTGTTCCCATACAAGCTCTGTCCTGCCATGACTCTTCATTACAGAAGGTGAGGTAGTAACAAAAATATGTTTTCAGTGCATAGGCATAAGTTTGTATTCAATTTACTTGTTCTTCAGACCATGTCTGAAGATTGTGATAACTGTCCATTCAGTAGTAAAGACTGTTTGATGTCACCTTCAGCACCACTGCACAGTACAGTCTGAGGTTTGTCACACAAAGGTACTGATTGATGACGTGAGGTCTCCAACAATGGAAGTTGTACAGGCTTATGATGTTCCTGACAATACTGTACAGGTTGGGAAGACAAACCTGAAAAATTCAAACAAATATATTTGATATGAGTTTAAGAACTGTCACTATTTTTAACTATTCTAAATCTAATAGAAAAAACAGACCAGAGTACTCTTACTTATTCATTACTCTTTCATCATTAATAAACAACTGCTTAGCTTCTTCAGTTACTACACAATAATTTCAAAGGGCAAATATTACCTTTTGTATCAGCAATCTTTACAGGTGTTACATTTTGTGCCTGTGACACCATCCTGTCATGATTGCTAGGATATACAAGTCCTTGCTTCTCCCTTAGGCCACTGGAAGTTCCATTGCATAAATAATGATTCAAAATGCCTTTGTCTACTCTATTCCGCTCTGTACCATGATTCTCATATGCATGATTTGACCATTTATGTTCCTTGGAGTAAATGTTGGTAGAATCAAACTGTTCTGGAACATCAAAAGAAAATATAAACAATAGAGAAATTCTCAGGCTTGTAGCTGAGCTTATAATTTGTGTGCAAATGTTGCCAATGCATTTTATGCACTCTACAGCTCCTCAGATGGCTCTATTCAACTACAAATTTGACTGCAAACTGAATCTGAAATGACCTTCAAACATGTAGTTTCTGCAGCTACAAAATAAATTGGAAGCGAATACAGGCATTTTATAATTAGATTGATTTTGGTTTGCAAAACTCACATACCTGTTTTTACCGATCCCAGCCTTCCTCCTGCTACATGTTTACATCCATCGTTAACATTATGGGATGCCACTTCTACACAGCTTCCAGCATCAGACTGACATGTACCTGTAATTAAAAACCGTTCAGAGCTCCATAATGTGACATGGGCTGTTCCATGACATTGTGCTCATCATTAATAAGTCCAGGTATTCCACAATTTAGTCTCCACTTGTAATCGTTAGACGTGAAATGACTTCCCTCATTCTGTAAGTATAGACCAAATGCCAACAACTACTGAGCAGGACCTCAGCAACAGAGGACCCAGGATGCCTGTATTTCATCTTGTATCCTGCTAAACGTGTGGACCTTAGTTTACAGGACTATCACAACTCCTTTCTGTGATACTGAAAATCACAGAATCCCTATAGTGTGGATGCAGGCCATTCAGCCCATCAAGTCCACACCGAACTTCTGAAGAGCTTCCCACCTAGCCTGCACCTCCCTGGATACCACGGGCAATTTTAGCATGGCCAATCCACATATCCTGCATATCTTTAGACTGTGGGAGAAAGTGCAAATTCCACACAGTTGCCCGAGACTGCAACTGAACTCGGGTCTCTGGCGCCATGGGGCATCAGTGGAACTGCAACCCAGTCAGTCCTCTGTGGAACTTAATTCTATCAAGCTGTTCTTTAAACTGAGGAAAATCACCCTTCAACCAGGTCCTACAAGACCACAGGAGCAGTAGGCCATTCAATGACATCATGGCTGATTTGAATCCTCAACTCCATTTTCCTGCATTTTTCCCCATAACCCTGGATTTCCCAACTTCTTGAAGATCTACCTCAGCCTTGAATATATTCAGTGACCCAACTTCTACAGCCCTCTGTGGTAAAGAATTCCATAGATTGATGTTCAAACAATACATCCAGGATTTTGAAACAAAAATGCCCTATTTGCTATTATTGAAAAGTATCTTCAAGTTTGCAGATAGCATCAAGATGGATAGGAGGATGGTTTAATACAATATGGATAAGTTGAGTGAGTGGCAAATGCATGCAGATGAAGTGGATACATGTGCAGCACAATGGCTTAGTGGTTAGCACTGCTGCCCACAGCACCAGGGACTCCGGTTCGACTTCAGTCTTGAGTGACTGTTTGTGTAGAGATTGCACATTTCCCCATGTCTGCATGGGGTTTGTTCAGGTGCTCCAGTTTCCTCCACATGTAGGTTATGTAAACTGCCCATAATGCCCATTGATGTGCAGGCTAGCCAGAGGAATTGCAGGGTTACAGGGATAGAGTACTGGGGCAGGTCTAGGTGGGATTCTCTTCAGAGGGTCAGTGTGGACTCAATGGACCAAATGGCCTGCTTCCACACAATGGATTCTATCAAATGGAAGTTTGTCCACTGAGGGCAAAAACAGGAAGGCAGATTATGTGACTGCTGATAGATTGAGAAAGGGGGAGGTGCAAGACCTGGATGTCCAAGTACAGCAATTGCTGAAAGTAAACATGCAGGTGGCAAAAACGGTATGTTGGCCTGTGTAGGGGATTTGGTTATAGGAGCAGCAGCGTCTTACTGCACTTGTACAGGACCTTGGCAAAACCACAACCACTCTACTAGCCTGGTTGTGGAGGGAGCGCAACAAAAGTTCCAAATCAGATTCCTGGGATGGCAGGCCTGATCTATGAAGAGAAACTGATTTGGTTAAGGCTATATTCATTGGAGTTTCTATAAAATTCTTACAGGACTAGGCATAGTAAATATAGGGAAGATATTCCTCATAACTGGGGAGCCCAGTACCAGCAGTCATAATCTAAGGATATAGAATGGGCCATTTAGGACTTGGAGAAATTTCTTCACCCAGAAAGTGGTGAGGCTGGGGAATTCTCTACCACAGAGTAATTGAAGCCAAAATATTGAATGTTTGAGGTGGAGTTAGATCTTGTTCTCTGGGCTAGAAGGATCAAAGGGACTGGGGAAGAAGAGGAAATAGGGTATATAGTTTGATGATCATCCACGATCATATTGAAAGGCAGAGTAGGCTCGAAGGGCTAAAGTAACAAAGTCCTGTTCTATTTTTCTATGTTTCTGATTTGAGTTGATTAAAAATACATCATACCATTGCTCACCGTACCACTGCTCTCCATACGTCCATGAGGAAGTGTTGCTGCTAATTGCAAATTGCTACTCTCATCTATCTTGACGCATGTCTCCTGACGCTCAGACAATGTCCCTTGAGAAGATAGGTAACTTGGTACATCAGGTGGTACGATGGTTTCATCTATAATATATGCACAGGCAAACACAGGTGAGAAGCAAGCCAGTCACATTTTCCTTACAGTAGAATTACAATAGGGGATTAGCACAATCCGCCTCTAATTCCAAACACTCAGAAGTTTCTGACTGATTTTAGTTCACTAACTACTTCCTAAATAGAAGCTTGCTATAACATGCAAATTGTCCAGCTTAATTCTCTAAACTTCAGAAAAATCTTGACAACATGCCAATATTTCAAAGTTGTATAATTTTAAAAACTGAAACAACTGTGGATGCTGTAAATCAGGAACAAGAACAGAAGTTGCTAGAAAAGCTCGGCAGGTCTGCAGCATCTGTGAAGAAAGAATCAATTAACGTTTTTGGTCTGGTCACCCTTCCTCAGAACTGTTCTGTGGAAGGGTCACCGGACCTGAAACATTAATTGATTCTTTCTTCAGAGATACTGCCAGACCTGCTGAGCTTTTCTAGCAACTTCTGTTCTTGTATAATTTTAAATTGCTCATAAGGCCTGGACTAATGATTCAAACAACTTAAATATAAAACCATACTGCAGATTGGGAATTTGCAATTAATTTTAAAACATCAGGAACCATGACCTAAAAGTGACTTCAGTCCCACACCAGCATGGTGGATTCTTAACTTTCCTATGAAGTAGGCAGTCACTATTTGAAAAAGGAAATAAGGCCTTCCAGAACAAGGAGCTGACCTCGACTGAGCATTGCAGACTGGTACATTCCAAGGTCCAGGACTACGCGCTGAGGAACATGCTAAAGCCAGGTGCAGCTGCTGCCATGGCACAGTGGGGACAGACCACCATCAAAGGTCTGTCTGCTGAAGTCAAAAGGGGCATCCGTTCAGTTATCAGATCTTCCCGCTACTTCAAATATATGTAAATATAGTCTTGTAAAGTTAAGAAATACCTTGGGTTTGTTTGCTTGTGTCTTCATATGCTACTGTACAGAACTGAACAGCTTTAGTGACTTTACATGTATATACAAGATATTTTCATGAATTAAGTGCATTGTTGAAATAAAAACGTATGCCACAAACTTAGGGTAACTAGGGATTGGCAATAAATACTGGTCTAATTGTTGATGCATACATCCCAAGAATGAATATTATTGTGCAATTATGTCCCCATTTATTTACAGTTAAGAAAAACTACAAAAGGTGCAAGGTACCAAAGACATTTGGTGAAATGGCTACATAAAAGGTACAAAGATACACCAGTAGAGAGCTCAATACAAACTATTGCTGCTTTGCTGCAAATGAGAACTTTTGAAAAGAATGCAAATCTTGGTGACCTAATCCTAGGAAGGAAGAAGAGTGCTTGAGAGCATAGACACAAAGAATGATTTAAAAAAAAACACCAAGCATTTGAGATAAAAAAAAGTGACCCAACTAAGATTTCAACATTAAGAACTAAAGTTTATTAAGGCAACTATAGTGAATTATTGGCAATAGAGGTGGCTGAGGGGGAGACCCTCAATAAAAGGTTCTGTACCTCATGGTTGAGAAATCCACAACCAAGAGGCATAGATTGAGGAAGAGGTTTCAAGGAGATTCAAAAGGTACTTGTTTCACCCCTGAAGTGATGCGGATTTGGAACTCACTGCCTGAAAGGCTGTGTGTGTTTCTGGTTCTCTACTTGAATAGGCACTTGAAAAACTGTCGTCATTATGGACTATGAATCAGAAAGTAGGGTTAGGCTGAATGGCTGCATCTTGTTATGTAAACTTCTGTGTTTAAAAATTGGTAAATAAAATTATAAAATAAGCTACTTTTTTTCTCATCCTCAATTTTACACATGTTCTAATCATGTAAAGTGTACAGGCAATTAGTAGAGGCACCACTTAATGCACTGCATCAAAACTGTTTCAGCTGTGATATCACTATTATATCTTTATTGTCATGCACAACATTTTCAATGGTGAAGAAGGACAACAGGATTATATCACTCCTTTCGCAATCCCAGGATCCATCAAAAATTGTTTTATAATTTAAATATAATCACTGGTATAATGTAGGATACAAAAAGCAATTTGCACACAGCTTGCTTCCAGAACACGAATGCTATAAGATAACCGATGTTAGTGCTAAACATTGGCCAGGACACCAGAAATTAATGTCTCATCTGAAAAATGGCACCTCTGACAAGAAACACTACCTTAGTACTGCACTACAGTGAGCACAGATCTTTCAGCATCTTGAACATGAGACCTACACATTGAGTCACAGTTGACACTTGTAGGAAGAAACTGAAGTCTGAGAAGTCAACATGTCGCTTATTAGCTCCATTGCTAGCTCTAAAATAGAGATCACTGAAGAAAATAACTACGTGAATTTACAGAATGCATTGGTATGAAATGTTGGTTAATGGCAATCTCAATTAAAATGGATAGCATTTTTCTGCTCAAGGTTTGTGAACAAAGTCTTATAAAGAAGACATAAGGCCATGCTAAAGTACTAAATATCATGAAAACTGGAGGATTAAAATTTTCCAATCTAAGTAAAATTAAGTAAATACAGGGGACAAGCACATTTCCAGCGACTTTAAACACTAAAATCAAATACACTGGCAAGATGATCACAGACAAAATGCAAGATTTCAAAGCAAAATACATTACACTTGGTCATACTTTAGATGCACCAGCAGCAAAAGAACTACTCATTCGTTAATCAATCAAAATGACTGCACTTAAGAGTAACTTGTTGCATTGAGATCTTGGAGACACCCAAGGCATAATGTAATAGATTCTTTGTTTTCCTACCTGTATTGGTAACACTGTATTCTTCACTCTTCTTCCTGGTCTGATAGATGATGCATACCCATACCAGTGAAGTTATTACAATACTGCAGACTACAGCAATGATGACAATACCAACAGTCATAGTTCCATCTTTTTTGCTTTGTCCCACAACACAGCTTGATGATGGTAAAACGCTGAGGTGGCTATGAGCTCGCTCTGTGCCAAGTGTGTTAGACATCTCACATGTGTATTTACCCCCATCATCCAATACCACATTTCGTATGATGAGCAGCTGATTTCCAGAGGTGAAATGATGCCTCTTTGTAACCACAAGGGGCTCATCACCTTTTAACCAAGTTATCCGTGGAGATGGGCTTCCTGATGCCATGCACTGCAGAGCTATAGTTTCACCAATCACTGCAATTTGGTCTTCAAGGGGGTAAACCAATGATGGGGTTTCTAGGAATACAAAGTGAACAAGTTAATAGTTGAAATTCTTTCACCTTCAGTTTTAGAGACATTTAATTTAATGTATGAGAAGTCACTGGGAGTGAGAATAACCTTTATTGTAATGCGTCAAATCTCTCCGAACTGGGGCATAAATGTCATTATAATCTCAATTTACCTAAAAGCACTTTTGGGTGCATCAGAGTTGGAGGTGAGAAGAGAAGCCTGAAATGGTCAATTTCTTTATTAGCTGCACTGCTAGCTAAAATGAATGTGAACAGCATGTTTTGCAGAAATTCTCTTGTGAATAGAAGAAGATACCAATACAAGACAATTACCAAGAAATCAGAAGAAACTTCTTTATCTTGTGAGAATGTATAGCTCACTACCAGAGAATGGTTGAAGTGACAGTAAAATTGTATTTGAAAGAAAAGCTAGGTAAACATGAGGAAAAAACGAATAGAGGGTTACAATGAGGGTTACGTTCTGAGGAAGGGTCACCGGACCCGAAACGTTAACTCTGTTTCCTCCACATATACTGCCAGACCTGCTGAGCTTTTCCAGCAACTTTGTTTTTGTTTCTAGAGGGTTTCAATGATAGCTTCAGATGAGGGAAGAAGGAAGCAAGCTTGAGTGAAACATTAAGTATCAAACTGGTCAGAAAGGGCAATTTTGGTGTTATACATCCTCTGAAATCTTCAGTTCATTTCCCTGATTTCTCTGTGTCAATTTCGGAGGATGGGCTACCACTCTAATTTCATTATAGAGTGACATGGTGGCTCAGATGGTTAATACTGCTGCCTCACAGCACCAGGGACCCAGGATCAATTACACCCTTGGGTGACTGTCTCTGTGTGGAGTTTGCACGTTCTCCCCGTATTTTATTCCATTCTCCAAGGTTTTGTCCTATTTGAACAATAGAACTTTTCATACTAAATTTTCCTCAATCAAAGGTCATTTCCCTCCAAAATATCACAGTCTACATTCATTTTATTTTCATACACTACTACTCTCAGCAGTTCACACCCCCCACAACCACAATTGGGTTCTCCAGTCTTCCATCCATGATAATTTGATTGCCTCCAGAACATGGGCTCCTATCTTCCTTAATAACCTTTTGTGACATCTTGTTAAATACCTTCCAGAAATCAAAGCACAGCATGTCCACATGCTCTTCTTTATTCCTAAGTGCTTGTTACACCTTTTAAAAAAAAAACTCCAATAAATCAATTCCCTTTTAGAAGTCAATACTAATTCTTTCCAATTACTTCATTCAAAATGGTTAAAAATACAAACAGCCCCCTTAATGATTGCTAAACCTTCCCCACGACTGACTGACAAACAAATTGACCCAATCGTTTCCTGTTTTCTGCGTCACACTGTACTTGAATAAAAGTTATATTTGTTACTTCCAGTCTGATGGAATCTTTCCAGAGTCTAGGAATTTTTGGAAAATTACCATCAACATATCTACTACCTAATTAGCCATCCCTTAAGAACCTAGAATGTAGTTCATCAAGACTCAGGGGACTTGTCAGTCTGCATGTCCATCATTTTGCTCAGTACTATTGTGCTTTCACCAAATTCCTCTCCTCTTCCTGATTTATATGTATTTCTGGTAAATATTTATCTTCTGTGATGAAGACAGATATAACATATTTGTTTATTACACCTACCATTACTTTAGTATCTACTGTTAATAGTCATTCTCTACAGGAACAGTATTCACTTTATCTACATTTTTCCTTTTTTCACATACCCGTAGAAACTCTTAGGTATTTTTACATTTCTAGCTAGCTTTCCCTCAAACTAATTTAGTTCTCCTAATTAATCCTGCTATTATTTATATTCGGTCCAATCATCTTTGCAGTCATATGCTTTTTTCCCTTATGTTGACATTTTCCTCAAATTACATTGGTGGGTCCTCCTAAAAGTCTTATTTATGTTAAGAATACAATGTGTGGAACACCTCCACTCCGTCTATAAACAAGTGCAACCTTGATTTGTTAAAGGGGCAGAATATGAAATAAACTCATTACAGGACACAGGCAAGATGCCAAGATGTAAGTGGAACAGTTCAGAGAACATCAAACCAAAATTGTAAATCTTCCTGAAAAGTCAGTCATTCATTGAGAAAAATCTAAACAAGAAGAGTTTTAATTGTGTTTTTTTTTAAAATATTAGGTGAGAACTTTAAATAGGAAACAATTTGTTTGCTTTTGCCTGTGCATTTATCTCAACTCAAATCTATCAATTCATACAAAGATTATATTAACAAGTTACAGCGATATGGGATTGAGAACTGTAAAAGAATCTTACGTGGCCGTTAACTAACTTAAAAGAGTGACAATACAATTAATGAGCAGGAGTAAATATTTGAACGCTAAGTCGCAGTAATTCTAAATATAACATAAACGCTGAATCCACTTACCCAACACCATTAGTGAGGCATTGGCCAAAACGGCCCCAGCAATATTTTGAGCTGTACAAGTGTAAACTCCCATGTCTTCAATTTTGACATCTACGATAAAGAAAACATCATCTTCCGGCATCACGTGCATTCGCCTTTCTCTAGCAGCAGGAAAATCTGTGCCACCGTCCTTCTGCCATGCAATTTGTGGGGTCGGATGACCAGTGGCAGCACATTCAAGACGAGCATTGGCTCCTGTTCGAATCGTAATATCTCTTGGAGTCTTAACAAATGATGGTAACACTGTAAACATAAAATGTTCAAGCTTATTCAAATATAGTTGAAGAAGAATTGTCAATTTCAAATTTTTTTGGTTTATTTCATTAAAACCTAAGAGAAAACTGCAGCAGAGGTATCAGATTTTCAGTGATCGTTGAGAAAACAAGTATTACAAAAAGTCATTAAGTTCAGAATTTTATTGCACTGCTAGTGCAGCATTTAAACTGCAAGTTCCCTCAATAATGGTATCTTGTCAGCCGTCTGCAAGTTGACCATAAAAACCTGCTTTTTATAGAAGTCCCACGTGCGAATTAGTAAATAAAGTTAAAATTGCATGGATTGTGGACAAGGATAGAGAATTGGTTAACAGGGAAAAAGCAGAGAGTATGAATGAACTGCTTATTCTCAGACAGGATGTGACAATTTGAGTACCACAAAAATCAGTGCTTGGACTTCAATCCATATCAGTGATTTGGATTTCAGGCCAAATGTAATATATTCCAAAAGGCAGATATAATACAGACAAGTGAGTTTTATTGGTAGTAGGAACAAAGGTGCAGAGTTATAGTGAGAGTGGGAAGGTATTGATTACCAAAAAGGGACCTAGGTGTCCTTGGTCATAAGTCACTGAAAGTTAGCTTGTTAGTGCAGGAAGCTATTTGAAAAGCAAGTGATATTAACCTTTATTACAAGAGGATTTAAGTACGGGAACAAAGAAATCTTGATTCAAGTGTTCAGAACACTGGTGAGACTGCACCTATTGTGTGCAATTCTAGTCTCCTTGTACAGGAAAGGATATACTTGCCGTAAGATAGATTTCAGGAAATGACAGGACTGTCCCATGAGGAATGATTGAGGAGACTGGGCCTGTATTCTCTGGAGCTTACAAAGATAAGGGATCATCTTAGCAACTTTTAAGACTTTTTTAAAAGGTATAGAAAGAGTAGATATAGCAAAGACACTTCTCTGATTGTGGAGTTTAAGGTAGGGGAATACGTTCTCAGAATAACAAGCCTTTTAAGATTAAGATTAAGATGAGGAGGAACAACTTCACTCAGAGGGTGGTAAATCTTTGGTATTCTCTGAGGAAGCCGCAGAAACTCAGTCATTAAGTTTCTTCAAGACGTTGATAGATTTCCAGTTATTAATGACATTAAGTGGTAGGAAGATATCTCAGGATTATGGCATTGAGGTAGATGATCAGCAATATGGTTGACTCTCAACTGCCCTCTGGGCAATTAGGGATGGGCAATAAATGTTGCCTAGCCAGCAACGCCCTCATCCTGTGAATGAATAAAAAAAAACATTTGGAATAACCATGATGTGGAGGTGCCGGTGATGGACTGGGGTGGACAAAGCCAGAAGTCACACGACACCAGGTTATAGACCAACGATTTGTTTGAAATCACAAGATTTCAGAATATAGCCCCATTGTCAGGTGAAGTGAGAGGGAAGCACAGACACAGAATTTATTGGCAGAAAGATCAAAAGATCATACAAATAGTACGAGTGGAGTGTCACTTTTGATCACCTGCTGAGACTTATTATTCGACACTCCACTCACACCATTTGTATGATCTTTTGATCCCTTTGCCCTTGATCTCTCTGCCTGTAAGTTCTGTGTCTGTGTGCTTCATCTGACAAAGGGGCTACATTCCAAAAGCTTGTGATTTCAAATAAACCTGTTGGACTATAACCTAGTGTCGTGTGACTTCTCAATTTGGAATATCAGAACAGGCTCAAGGAGGTGAATGGCCTTTTCCTGCTCCTATGTTCCTATATGAAAACAAACATCTGCGCGATTTATGGAGTCAGTTATTCTTCTGGATTTGGGATTATCAACTTGGACTTGCATTTTTAGTAACAACTCACGTAAAAATTAGGATAATTGTGAACTTATCAGGTACTTATCCTACTTATACTCACCATTTACTGTAAGCTTAGCTTTATTGGAGTAGGTCGAGCCAAAGTTGTTAGTTATAATACACTGATATCTTCCCTCATCTGAAAATTTCACTTTTCTTAAAAGAAGACTGGTTGTGTACTCCATTACTTCACCATCTTTTGCCCGCACATGTGCAAAGTTCTCAATCTCAGCATTGTGAAGAATTTCATGATCTTTCTTCCAGGCAAATATCATCGGAAAGTTGCTACTGCTTGCTGCAGAACAAGTGAAACGTATATCTTTGCCAAGCATAGCCATAGTTGTCTCAGGTTGAACTATGATCTGAGGCTTTGGAAAGTCATCTGAATAGTTAAAAAAGCAAACATATATGTGAAGAACAGTTCCAATTTAAGGAAACAATGTGTATATCTTTGGATGTGCAGGAGGCTATTGGAGAAATAAAATAATCAATACAAAATGATGTGAATTATAAAGGGTATGACCAAAATGGCCAAAAGTCGAGGATTTCAGATTTCAAGTGGAAAATCATTCAATCTACATCAGTGATTTGGATTTCAGCCCATATATAATATTTCTAAATTGGCAGATAGTACAAAGATTGATGGGAATTTGAGTTGTGAGAAGGATGCAAAAGGAACTTTAATAGACTTAAGTGGGCAAGAGCAAGGCACATAATAATATAATATGGGTAAGTAGAGTATTATTCCCTTTGGTAGTAGGAACAAAGGTGAGTTATAGTGAGAGTTAGAAGTTTTTGATGACCAAAGGGGACCTAGGTGTCGTTGGTCATAAGTCACTGAAGATTAGCTTGCAAGCGCAGGAACTATTTGGAAAGCAAGTGATATTAACCTTTATCACAAGAAGATTTAAATAAGTTTGCATAAAACATTCTGGTTTTGACCTCCAACAAAACAGATATGACTTTTCAAATATAGGGATCATCAGATCGGACAATAAAGACGACTAAATAATGACACTCTGCTAACTGTAAACAAGATGGTAATACTGTAAAATAATTCTGAGAAAAGTCAATAACCACAGCTGCAAAATCTGCAGTGAACAGTTGTTTCCAATTTAGAATTCTTTCCACTATTTCAAGTCATATACAAAGTCAATGAATATCATAACGAACATTTTCTCAAAGTCTTGAGCCATCCTTTGTACTCCATTTCAAAAGTAAGAGGATACTTTGGTATAGTGCATTAAATCACTATGCAATAGCCAGAATTCAGCTTGTGCCTGCTTCTTAGGAGACACCAAATTTCCAACATCAGTTGCATCAAATAAGTATTAAAGATAAGCAGTTTTCTATGAAGATTGATCCTTCCATAAGTCAGACCTACAATAATTGCATACTTCTCTGTAACTAATTCTATACCACCATTGGGAGAGCTTTACACATCATGTCAATCTTGGAGAAAAATTGCATTCTAAATAATTTCAATCAAATTATACCATGATTCATGCAGCATAACTTTATATTTCATTAACAAACAGACTATTGAAGTTAAACAAACCAACTGAATAGGTCATAGTCATGTGATTCAAGATCAGCTACAATGAGACTAAAATTATTAATACAATGACAGCTTCAGCAAAAACATGCCCCACAAGTAGTCAAAAGCTTTTAACTGTTTCAAAAAAAAACTTACCACAAATAAAACTTTCTGCAGGCACAGTGAAGATACTTTGGCCTTTCAGTGATTCTGGATGAGCACATGTAGCAACTATACTAGATTGGAAGCCTCTTCCAATGAGCCACTGTGGCAGCCATTTTAATTGGCAGTCACATAAAAAGCTATCACTGTTCATTGATCTGTAGGAACACTTAATTTGTTAATGTGTTGAACATTATTTAAGTTTCTGATAAAACTCCAAAAACATAAAACTTATGATTAACGCAGCAGCCTCAATGCATTTGACAGAAATACATTAGAAGTAATGTGAAATTAAAGGCCTCCTGTCCTACCAAATTTAAGAATGTGTGCATATACAGACAGCCAGAATCTGTAGCAAAAACTATGCGTTATCATGATCAAATTGGTAAGCACTTACAAATATAAGTTAATTAATGGCCAACACAAATTGGGTAAAGACAAGTTAGTGGTTTCACAGACAAATCTTTGAAGCTGGTTCAACAAGTTCAGAAGATTGGTGAAGCAAAGTGTTCTTGTGCTTTATACATTGGTGTTTATTAGATTAGATCTTAGGTGGGGTAGTGCATGTCAAATTTTGAGAACAATTTTATAGGAAAAATGCTAAGGCCTCAGAAAGGCTGCAGAGAAAATGTATTTGTACAGCAGCAGGAATATACACTTAAGTTGGATCCATAGACTAAAGGAGTTGGGATCATTATCCTTGGAACAGAGAGATGAAGAAATTTACGGTGTTTAAAATTATGAAGAGTCTTGATAGAGTAGAAAGGAAGAAACTGTTTCTCCTGGTAGGAGATTAAAAACCATTGAATAAGAATTGCAATAATTAACAAAAGCAGCAGTAAATTGTGATGACCTGGAGCTCACTGACTAAAAAAAGTGTGGTGGAACTTTATGCAAAGGGAACTGGATATATGCTTGAAAATGGCCATCACACTACAGTATGAAGAGCATGAGAGAATCTACTTAATGTATTTCTTTCAAGGAGCTAGCAATGACACTGTCAAATGGCCTCTCTCTGGGCTGTAGGATCTCATGATTCAACGTTCCACGGTTTCCTCCCATTCTGTGCACTCTTATTTTTGCTAATGACCTCCTTGACTGAAGGTTTTCCAAATATTTTCTGAAATCCTTATAAAGACCTGTACACACACCCATATGCACTATCCTAGTCACCACCTCAAAAAAATTCAAGTTTGACCAAAACAGAGGAGATCAAGAAATGCAAATGTAAAATACCTATAGCTCAAACTGACCTTCTATGATCTTTTGCACAAGTATTAAAATTATCATGATGAGAGCCCAGCCTTAAAATTGACCATTCCTCCCCTCGCCTCTAATTCAATTTAAAGTCCTCAAATGAAATTCCCACTGCATCTGATACCTAAAATTAAGCTTTCTGTTATTGGTCAAAATGCAGTAATAGGCATATTTTGAAAAGCTTTCAAAATAAAAAGATCAAATCCTCCAAGAAACTTACTATTGTATACCAATTAAACTGGTAAAGTTGTCTTTCTAACATAATTTTCAGCTATTTAAAAATAAGGTCTTCACAGTTGATGAAATAGCATTTCATGCTGATGAAAACAGATTTTGTGATATGCACATTTTCAGCTGTACAAAACAAAACAAAACAGATTCAGGTTCCACTTCTAAGTTCATAAACGAAGGTTATTTAAAGTAAATCTTTTTTTTAAAATTCTGTAATACTGAACAGACTGGTATTGAAATATTCTATATTTGGCGATATGCAAATAAGTGAACAGAAAATTCAATTCAGTAAACTACATAATTTTAAATGCATTTTGCATTGGGAACTACAAATAAAAGCAAGAACTCTATCCACAAAGATCGCTATTCCAAAGTACAATTTGATTTTATGTCCGTTGGATTACTTCCAGCCAAAACAAATTTCCAATAAGTTGGTGTGAAAGCTTTCAATTTACTTACACTTCTTTCAGATTGTTCATTTTGGTGAATGCTTCTTCCTGGATAGATCTGATCATATTGTTTCCTAGATTTCTGTAAAAGGAGGAACTATATGTAGCCATTGTTTCAAAATTTTCCAAGGTTAAATAGTTAATTTGTTCAGTTTTTTAAAAATCTGCCAGTTAATCTTACATTTATACAGTCTCCTGCACGTACACATCTTGACATCTACCTTTTTACTTTTGAGCTGAAGAGGTATTTGACAAACTGTACAGGCCTTGCAGCAATTTATTTTGGAGGGTCAAGAAAGAGAATCTAAAGTTAACCCATACCTGGAGTCATTAAAGTTTGCCCTATTCAGTCACGTACAAAAATATAAATATGACAGCTTGTCCCAATATACATTAATGTCATGGGTGCAATGGAGCATAACTTTAAAATTTGCAGGTAAGGTACTTGGAAACATTGGCAACGGTGAAGGTGGATGTAGAACTTGGAAAGGACGTACACTAGTTGGTGGAATGGACAGACTTTTGGGAAGTGAAATTTAATGCAGAAAAATGTGATCGATTTTCGTAGAAAAGAAAGAGTACAAGCAAAAGAAGGTTCAGGAACAAAAGGGACCAGGGTGTACAGTCATTCAAGTTGGCAGAACAGGTTGAGAGCATAATTAACAAAGCATGTAGTATCTTAAACTTTGTTCATAGGGCTATAAAGTACATGAGCAAGGAGGTTATGTTGAACTTGTGAAAGTACTTCCACAGCTGCAGTATTTCATCTAGTTCTGCTCACCACAATTTAGCAAGGCCATGAAGACTTTGAAAAGAGTGCAGAAACATTCAAGAGAACGGTTCCAGGTACAATGAATTTAAGTTTTCGAATTTTGATTCCAATGAAAAAAATCACTAAAATCAAAAAATTAAAAAATTAATTCTTATTTCTCTCTCTACGGATGCAGCCAGACTTGCTGAGTTTCTCCAGTACTTTGCTTTTGTGACATGTGAAAACCTTTTTCTCATGAAGTGTCGCTAATGATGGAATATACTGTCCAAGGGTGTAATTGAGAGGGATTCAATCAACCCACCCTAAAGAGAATTAGATTATTTTCTGAAAAGGAAAAATGTGCAGGGTTACAAGGAGAAGGCAGGGGCTGGACAGCAAGTAACTGCACATTCCAAGAGCTAGTGCAGACACAAAAGGGTGTTTCTGTGCTGCAACAATTCCATGATTCTGCGCTTTAAAAATATCAAAACCCCTCTGGAACATAATTTCACCCTAAAGTAATATATACAAAGCCCATTGAGAAAGTACTGTTTTGTGTAAAAAGTAATTAAATAATTAAAATGAGTTTAGATAAGGTCTACAAATGCAAGAGTTGCTCAAGCATTTTACTCAAGTACATCTGTATAATGTAAAATTAATAAGCAAATTGAAGAGTCAAAACAAACAATGCAGAATCCATTTAACTATGGACAACAGAACTGTCAGCTGACACTCAAATGCAGTGGCAAAAGTGCTGAGCTATTGCTGCTGCTGCAATCTTTTAGTTGAGGTGTTGAAGTCTAACCTCCTTTAGGTGGGCATTAAAAATTCCCATAGCACTATTTAAGAAAGGGCTTGGGTGCTCTCCTGCTGCACAAGACAATATTTATCAGTCAATTAACTGACATCACTAGGGGGAGGCAATGCCCTAGTGGTATTATCGCTGGACTGTTAATCCAGAAACCCAGATAACGTTCTGGGAACCTGGGTTCAAATCCCGCCATGGCAGCTGGTGGAATTTGAACTCAACAAATATCTGGAATTAAGAATCTTAACGATGACCGTGAATCCATTGTCGATTGTCGGAAAAATCCATCTGGTTCACTAATGCCCTTTAGGGAAGGAAACTGCCATCTTTACCTGGTCTGGCCTACATGTGACTCCAGACCCACAGCAATGTGGTTGACTCCTAACTGCCCTCTGGGCAATAAATGCTGCCTAGGCAGCGATGCCCTCATCCCATGAATGAATAAAGAAAAAAAAACTAAAAACACATTAGTTACTCGTTATGTCATTGACTAACCAAGCTATATATAACCTGGCTGGTGTATTTGACTTCACTACTAGTGTGAAAGTTCTGAAGGGCAACTGAAATGTACATCCTCTCCTAACTTGTAACATTAGTTTGCACATAAAAGTTGCAGGCTATCGCAGAAATCTGACTGGATAGAAGGTGAATTGTTCTATCCAAAAAAAAATCAAGTCCCAAAATATTCTCTTAATAACACAAATGGCCTGACAGCAATATTTATTCAACGTAATAGAAGTTTTAAAAATATGGGTAAAAGATTTCAACTATGTGCAAAACTCATTCTATAGAATTCTGCTTTAAGTTTACTGGACCCATCCTACGAAGCAAATCTCGCGAGTCAACAAAAATACTCAATACTGAAGATTAGATACAGTAGACTAATACAGACCCAGAATTTACTGATTCATAAGCCACGAATATCTAATTTTAAGTATTGGTAACGGTATTGTCTATAAGGACAGATTCTAAATTTTAAGTAAACTAACAGTACAAATGGTGGGAATTCCAGCTTTGAGTCACCAGGATATGAATAGTTAAAATTACAAATAAAAGTATTTTGACAAGATATTTCTCCACAGCAATGATTTTTGTTGACTTCAATTCATATGGAGTTGCAAATTAATAGCAGAAGATGGTCAATCAGCCTTACACGCCTATTTCACAATGCAATAAAATCATCGCTAATCTGATTACTTTATGTTCCTGCCTACCCTTGATAACCTTTCATATCTTGCTTATCAAGAATCTACCTATGCCCTAAATTGTATGAAGAACTTGCTTCTATTATCATTCAAGGGACAGAATTCCAAAAACTCTCAAACCATCTGACACAAAAAAAGTTTCCCTACCTATCTGAAATGGACTGCCCCACTTTTTTTAAGAAAAAAAGTGATCCTTAGTTCTCCATTCTCCCATAAGAGGAGACCTCCTTTCCACATCCATGCTGTCAAACCCCTCCAGATCTTGTATGTTTCAATCAAGTTCCTGCTTACTCTTCAAAACTCCAGTGGATACAAGCCTATCCTGTGCAACTTCTCATCGTAAAACAAACACCCATTCTCGGTATTCTCTTTGAAATCTAGTAAACCTTCCCTAAACTGCTTCAAAAAGGAGTGAATTCCTTCCTTAAATAAGGAGACCAATAGTGTAAGGAGTACTCCAGACGTAGTCTCACCAATGCCCTGTACAAATGAAACATAACCTTCCTACTTCTGCATTCAATTCCACTTGCAGGAAACAATAACTTCAAATTAGCTTTCCTAATTGCTTTATGTGCTTACATACTAACCTTATACAATTCTTGCACCAGGACACCCAGGTCTCCGCAAATCTCAGAGCTTTGCAATCTTTCACAATTCAGATAATATAGGTTTTTCTTTTATTTTTCCAGCAGAAATGGACAGTTTTACATTGTCCCACATTATACTTCATTTGCCAAATCTCTGCCCATTCACTTGGGCTATGTACATCCTTTTGTAGCTTCCTTATGCCCTCTTCACAACTTACCTTTCCAAATTGTGAATCAATAAATTGTATCAACAGTATATTTAACTATACCTACCTTTAATCCATTCATCCAAATCATTTACATAAATTGTAAAAGTTGAGGCCCCAGCACCATTCCTGCGGCATGCACTGTATTTTGTCAACTAGGCAATGGTCCATTTATACCTATTGTTTCCTGTTGGCTGGCCTGTCTTCCATCCATCACAATATCTTACACCCTACATCATGTCACCTCATCTTTTATTGAAGACCACAACAGCCAACAGTCTGGAAAGACTACTAAGTGATTCTCATGAATGACTGGCAAAAGATCCTATTTTACAATTAACTTCCTCGTCTAAATTAAAAGGATGAAATTTATGCAAAAATTATGAAACTAGGTTAGCAAAAGAGAGATTTGATGAATGGGGTGGGAGTGGGTTACTGAGTTTAATTATCTAGTATCTGAGGTTCTCCTTTAATGCCTTAAGGGCATAAAAAAACCCCCAAAGTTTAGACTATAACCAGAAGTAGGCAGATGGCATCTGCAAATGCAATCTCTTCTCAGTTTACAAAGAAGCTATTAAATTGCTACTAGCCTACGAAAGCAGCCACTGTTGGCAGACTACGAACTCAGTGTATTGTGGGATACTCACAGGTGTTCGAGGGCCTCCAGTCCTATGAATGCTTTTTTGGCTATAGATTTGATCTCGTTTCCAAACAGCGTTCTGCAGTTTCATAAACACATACAGGAGATGAACAGAAAAAGAATAAGCACAATTAGTTCAGCAAAATTGGATAAAGAAACTATACATTGAGAAGGAAATTTGAACTGCTCCAAGATTAAAGTGCAAATTCAGTACTGGACTCTGCTGCTTCGAAAGGAAATGTCTCAAGAATTCATGAATTGCAAGAAGAGAAAACCATGTGGCTCAAATTAAATTAAGTACCAAAACATATCAGCCTGCTAAAGTAAAAAAAATCTGTCCAGTAATCAGCAGCAAGTAACGGGCAAGATTAACTGTGCTGACAGCTGCAGCCTCCAGCATTACACTGGACAGAATGCTCAAATAGTTCCAAAATCTTCCAGCCAAATCTACTTGCTTCTGATTTATTTTCTGGCCTTGCGTACCTTTTGAAACACCTAAGCCTGTAGCTTCACAAAATAACTACATCCTACAAACTATTAAAATGACACTGGACTCTGCCTTAGAATGGTTTTAGATTGTGTAATTATGCTGAAAGGCTTCTCTCATTCCTACAGAAACATAGTGAATAGCATAACAAAATCCCTTCATCAACTTAGGTAATTTTGTTCCATGGGGAGCTAAGTCACATAGACCAGAAAAATACTAGTGCTAGCTGATTCAGGCATGATCAGCCTAAGACTGAAGACTTTGCAACTAGAGTATCCTTGACCCGGAGGGGAAGATTCTTTTTTTAAGATCTATCAGTTTATTCATTGCAGGGTGATATTCAATTGTACTCTGCTGGAAAAAGTATACATATATGAAGAGTTGAGATTCTCTTAAATTAGTTCAAAGGATGTGAGTGGCAAAAATCAATAATCATTTCCCATCACAAAGGGTCAAGGTGGTGGTAGACTGTTTTCGTAAACCACAGTAGTTTATGTGGCATAAATACACCCAAAAATTCCACTAGGAACGTAGTTCCAGGATTTTGACCCAGAAACAGTGAGGGAATGACAACAGATTTCCAATTGAGGATGACGTTTGCCTTGAGAGAGAAACTTATAGGTTGGTGTTACAATACAGCTTTTCCCCTTGTTCTTCCAGTTGGTTGACATTACAGGTTTTTTTAAAAATGGCACACATCTACCACTAACGCAGTGGTGGTAATGGGAGTATGTGCTCAAGGCGGACAGATTGCCAATCAAATTAGCAGCTTTGTACTGAATGATGGATAAAAATAGAAACTGCTGGAGAAAGTCAACAGGTCTGGCAGCATCTGCGGAGCGAAATCAGAGTTAACGTTTTGGGTCGAGTGACCTTTCCTCAGAACTGAGCATGGGTCACTCTAGCCGGAAAGAGAGCTCTGATTTCTCTCCATAGATGCTGCCAGACCTGCTGAGCTTTACCAGCAACTTCTGTTTTTGTACTGAATGATGCTGGGTTTCTGGAGTATTGATGTAGTCACACCTACTCAAGAAAGTGGAGAATATTCCACCACACACCTGACTTCGGCCTTGTAGACGGTGGAAAACCTTGGATGACCCAAGAGGTGAATTATTCAGTGGCTGCACAAACAGGTCAGAGACAGGGAACCATACACATGTTTATATAGGTATTCAAATTCTGTTTCTGGTCATCTATAGTCCTCAGGGTGCTGGTTGAGAGATGAATTCAGCAACGGTAATATCAGCTAAATGTCAACAGGAGATGGTAAGATTTTCCCTTGTTGGAATGGTGACTGGTTCGCACGTGTGGCATGATTGTTACTTACCACTTATCTGCCAAACCTGAATTCTATCCAGGTTCTGCTGCATGTTGGTACAGACTGCTGTATCATTTGAGGGGCTGCAAATGGAACTGAATCATGCAATCATTGACAACCTTGCCAATTTATGCCTTGAGGGTGAAGAAGGCGGCCCGTGGCAAAGTAAATTAAAGATGATTGGATATAAAATGCTGATCAGAGGAACTCCAACAATGATGTCCTGGGGCCAAGGTGATAGCTTTCAACAGCCACAATCGCCTTCCATTGTGCTAGACATTAGCTAATTACATAAGCTTTAGCTCACCAATGCTGACATGTGGAAAACTTCTGAAAGCCATCCTTTTGGGCATGTTTTACCCATACGGCTGCAGCCTATCACATGTTACCTTTTGCACAGGAGGGATGGGCAAATTTTTCAGAAATTAATTTGTACCAGAGGTGATCCAAGCACAAATACCTAATGCCATGTACGACCATCTTTAAAACAGTAGAATCACACTAGCAATGCAAAATAAAGAAACAAACTTCCAATTCTCATGAAGTTGATAAATACACATAAATATATCCATTCTTCCATTAAGCTAGAGCAAATGCAACAAGCACGTAGATTTTTGAAAAATCCATAGAAGTGAAATTATTGAACACCAGCATTGTGTAGTGTGCAATGTGACAAAATCCACTTTCAATGGATGGGAGGAGGGGTTGCTGGGGGGGGGGGGGTGCAGAGATCTGTGTAGTTTGGTTGGAGGGGAGGCATAATGTTAAAAATGAAAGCAGCTGCATTACTGAGATGTATATACTCCCTGTGAAGGGGTAGGACTTCAAATACAAGACTGAATAAAATGAATGGATTACTGCAGCTGCAAAAGGAAGGTGATGAAATGAGTGGTAAAAGGAGCTAAAAATTTCTTGTCTAACTCTAAGAAATACATGTGATCTGCCAATGCTGGCCTCCTCTGTACTCTTGATTTGAATCACTACACCACTGGCAGCTGTGCCTTCAGCTGCCAGATTGTAAACGTTTGGAGGTCCTTGCCTAAATCTCTCTGCTTTTATTCCTCTCTTTCATCCACCAAGGTGCAAATTAAAACCTACCTCCTTTGCCTATCTGTCCTAATATATCATACAGCTTGATGTCAAACCTTGTTTGATAATGCCCCTGTGCAGCTGTTGGGACATTTACCACATTTAAAGGCACTAAATAAACACAAGGTGCTATTATTGTACAGGTACATGTCATGATGCATGGTTTGTAATGGATTACAGAACTTTTCCCTTCGCTTTTTCTTTTACTGCAGGCAAAAATGCTAACCCATTGCATCAACATCTTGATCTCAATAATAGTTACACATTAAAGAGCAGAAAGAAATTAAAGGGACCATGCAAAAAATAACTAAATTTTAAAAGGAAGCATTGATCAAGGCTTCAATATAAACATACAAATAAAACTCCAAGCTCAGTTAAACTAAAACAGACTCTCACTAGTCTTCCACTGCCCACCCCACCCCCCATCTTACCTGATGTCCTTTTCAAAGGCTTTCCACACAGTTTACAGTGAAATTGATTGTGCATGTAGTAGGAATGTGGGTTCTTTAAACTGATATGCCATGAATATCTAAAGGTATGCTTAATTTCCAGGATTCTCTAGCTTGAATTTTATAGCTGTACAAATAGTTTAAGTACATCACATTACAACTTCTAAACTGAACAGTCATTGCATCTCATCATTTTCCTGAGTGCTGCATTAACGATGAGTCTAATTTTCAAAGTTCCTATTCAAAGCTCAAGCACAAGAACAATGGTTGTAAAAGAATAAGCTTCTCATGCATGCAGTTTGGCTGACTTCAAAAGATGAGATACTCACAGCTTGCTCAGACCATCCAAACCAACAAAGGCTCCATTTGTATCTTCTATTATTCCGGAGATTTCATTATTGTCCAGTTCCCTGTAGGGAAGGAAAATAAGAAAGTACAATCAATTTTCCAGTCTTACTCATTTACATTACGAAAAGGTAAAAAGAGTAGGGGAGGAAAGTACTTCTTTAGTTTACTACAATACACACAGAAAAAGATCAATCATGAAGTTATTGAGTACAATATAAAATCTTATCCAGAGTCCTTTTAAAACTGCTGTTGAATATTATTCTAAACAAAACACTGCTGTTGTTTCAGATCTGATATTTTTTGCAAGATGGAACAGCTACTATTTTGGGGTTGAACTAGACCACTAAAAAGACTAAAATTTACCAAAGTTTTGAATTTCTACAGAATACCTTATATGCATTTTATTACAGGATCTGAGCTTTCTAATTCTTAAAATGCTTGTATGATTATCTCAACAAAGTATTTCAAAATATGGAGGCAAGAGTTAGAAAACATTGAAATTTATTTTCAAATTCCTCAGGCTGTCAAAACTAATGTCACTCATTAAACAGTAAACCACAAGATTCTTTTTGGATTCCGTATTAACAATATATCACGTCATGCTCCAAAAAGGGTGCCAACTTCACTTCCTAATTATAAGATCAGGAACAAATACTAACCATGGCAAGATTATAATGACATAAAATTTGGGATGGCTGGGAAATCTTCCTGTTGCCTTTTTGGTTGTGACAGTCTTTTGGAATGAAGCTTTCTACTTTCAAAGTTGGCTACCCCTATTCATCACTCCTCCTGGAGTTTTTACGTTTGTTGGTATTTCTAAAATCATTACTACTCCATTTCTTCAACTTCTTATCGGTATAAAGATTTCTCTTCACAAAAAAAAATCATATTCCAATGATTCAGAGGAAGATGTAAAATTTCAGAGATCTTTGGAGGAACGATTCAGTCTAAATCTGAATTGGTTTAATAAGTGGAACTGCATTAATTCCACAGAAGCTTGCCCCAACCTGGTTCTATATTTTCTCATAGAAAGCTTTTCTGCTTCCTGACATGAAAATGTACTTTTTAAAAATGGATTAAGTTCACCAGCTTGCCACAAGCAACGTACTTCTGAGATTTCCCTTTTTGAACACAAGGTTCTTTACACATGGAGGAATTTTCTCCATATCAGTACTACACAATATTATACTTTGGAGTACATGTCAGAATGTTTAAAACGGTTTCCAGTCCATAACTAATGTGACTTTGAAATCTTCAGATCCCAATCACTTGGTTAAAACGAAAAACTAACTTTTTTTTCCTCAAATTGATTGCATGGTCCATAAAGAGAGCAGACAGGATAAACTGAGACAAGTTCTATATTGTCCCTTCACCTGTACAATTGACTGGTCCACTTCTGGCCACACAAAATAACGATGATTAAATATTGCAGAATTGCAAAAATGAAATAAATCAGAATTATATTTTATGACATGAGGGGAAAAAAATGAATTCCAAACTTAAATAAAATCGGTCAAAAATCATCTATTCAGACATTCCGCAGCATGTCAACCTTGCAGTGGAACTGTATTAGGTTGTTTGATGATTTCAAACGACATTTTAAAAAGGACATATCAGAAAGCTTTAACACGTATCTTTGGTAAATTTTTATTATTGATTATAAATATGCAAATTTACTCTCATTAAGCATCAATTTTAAAAAGTTTATTCGCAAATGAGACAGCTATTAGCTTCAAGTTAAATATGCCACTTTGTAATTAATCCTTTGAGGAATCTAGTGTTCCTTCATTACTGCCAAGCAAGTTTCATTTTGACTGAAACGATTCCCCAACAGCTTGCAATATCAAAACAACACAAAGAGGTGGTGGGGTCAAGGAGATGATGACGTAGTGGCAAAGTCATTCAGCTTCATATCCAAAACCCCAGACTACCATTTTGGGGACATGTTCAAATCCCACCGTAGCCAGTGGTGAGAGGTGAACTTTAGAATCTTGTGGTGCAGCGGTCAAGGATCAAGTCCCACTTGCCCCAGAGGTGTATCATAACATGTCTGAACAGGTTGATTAAACTCACTAGAGAAAGGCAGTGGATAGTAATTAGCTTTCATTATCATCAGTTTATAGTAATAGGAAAGAAAATTCAAAAACCAAGCTACCACTGACATTTGGAAACTGAAAAATAATTTAACTTATGATTTTAGAAAAATTGGACAGTTTATAGTTATTGTAGAAACTGAATTATCCATTTGTCTGCTTCTTTAAATGTAATAAATAATTTTTTTTTTATATAACATGAAATTTATTCTCAACCTATGTAAGAGAACAATAAATAGATCCAAGACTGTTTTTAAAAATGATTACGCACATGACTGTAGGACAAGGCAGACTATTTGAAGGATATCAAAGGAAGACAGAAAATTGCATAATATTTCTTTAGTTAAAGGGTATTTGCATCTCTGTATTAACTTGACAGAAATGAAAGTTATGCAGGTTTTGGAAAAGAATAGGACTTGACAAACTCAACCATAAGACGCAGAGCTGTCAGTTGTGGAGTCAGGTGCAAACTTACTAAGAGGTTTGGGAAAAAAATAGATGAGATGGCTCAATAGTCTATAGTCTACAAAAACAAACCAAAAGAACTGTGGATGCTGGAGATCTGAAATTAGAACAGATATTTCTGGAGAAACTCAGCAGGTCTGATAGCATCTGTGGTCAGAAAGTAGAGTTAACTTTTTGGGTCAGTTGACCCAAAACAACTCTGCTTCCTCTCCACAGATACTGCTAGACCTGCTGAGTTTCTCCTGCAATTCCTGATTTGGTCCAATAGCTTTCTATCCAATTGTGCTATTATTTTCCCCTCCAGTCATTGGGTAGAGTTTCAGCACTATTGAAAAACATTGACAATTTAAAAATTGAGTTGTGTATATACTACGGATCTTAACGTAATCTTTCTTGCTTAAAATGCATGAAGTAATGCGGTGAACCAAAAGCTGTTGCAATTTTTGATACCAGCCACATAGGATCTATTCGGTTAATACATGCAGTCAAGAGAACAATACCTTCAGTTTGTATCAAATTCATGCAAGCTGGAACAAATCAGAAAGCCTCAATATTGTACTTGCTGTCCTACTCTAATGATAAACAATATATTTAACATGAAGGTGTCTGAAATTAATTTATATATTAAAACTTTAAATTTAGTTTCACATTACATACAACTACCTACAACAACACTTCAAAAAAAAGTAATTAATTGACTGCAAAGCGCTTGGAGACATCCAGTTGTCAGGAAAAGTGCTGTTTAAATGGATATCTTTCTTTTCTAAAAACAGAATTTGATTCTCAGCTTGACCAGCCCTCTTCCCTCAAGAAAAAAAGTACACACAAATAGAACAGAGTGGCATTCTATCCCCTAAACACAGGGTTTGTAATTGAGCAGACATTGTATTCTGTATAACGGCAACACATTTGCTCATTGCATGTTTTTCTTTTTAATTGAAAGGAAAGGAGGGTGAAGTAAAAGGAAAAAAATGTTCTCTCCAAGTAGAAAAACCTTTGATTTGAGTTCTTTTTGTATTTACTTCCTTTCTCTTACAAGCTTCACTGGCAATTTCCTATTCTTTCTGGCTGGCTAGGCCTGAATGCCTGTTGGCTTGTTAATCATTGCTGTGTGAAGGCCTCAAGGCTTGACCTCCATTTGAATAGCTATGCATTTCAGCAGTTTCACACCCACTGAAGGCTCGTCAATCCTCAGCAACAATGGAACCATAATTAAAGCATGCTCGTTTCTCTTCACCAGGTGCAGGACCGAATGGGCCTCTGCTTTATTTAATTAGAATTCTCGGCATTCAAGTAGAAAACCACAGCATACTGTCATGACTGATTGTTCAAAATATAAACATAAACCTCTGAAACGCTCCAAGGAAAGACCAACTTCTGTCAGATGTCTTCTTGCAACCAGGATCTTTTGCTTCTACCTTTTGGTGCAGAGGAGAGGTGGTGGTTGTGTAGATTCTTTGTAAATTCCTTTTCAATGACAAACTCATGACTAAACACAAGATTTGGCAGCTACCCAAGAACTAAAAACTAAAGTAGATTTTTAAAATGCAACATTAGGTTTTTTAAAGCTGTCAACAATTAATCTATTCCTGTCCCAATAAAATTAAAAGTACTCATTTATTCTATAAATTTTATGATTGAGCTGCCAACTTTTGGTCACTGCATCTTTTCAGCATACTTTGAATAATTGGATATTGTATTTGCAATATGTACTATTGATTTACAACTGCTAGAAGTGGTACGTTTAATGATCTTAGCCTTTCACAATTATTGACAACATTATACTTGACTGGAGATTAGGGAACTTGGAGCTCTGATTTTTGCTGGCATTTGGTTGCCTACTGAATTTTAGCAAAAATCAGAAATATTTCATTCACTGAGAACAACCAAAACTATTGTAAAGCACCTCCTTCATAAGTTTAGGAACATGCAAAGCTACCTTCCCAAATCTGAAAATCAGTTTTGAATTTGACAGCAAATTAACTTATGCCATATTGAAGGATAAACAAATAAATAAAACCATACTTGTAGAAATTAAATGCATCCTCACAGTAAGTTGTAAATTGATGTTTTATTATGATACATTTACTAAATTTATGACCATATTTATCCCTTTTCTAAACAAATTACTGCATTTTGAAATTTCAGGATTAACAGAGCATTGGGAAATAATACTTACACAAAACTCTAAAGTTGCTTAAAGTATAACGAATCCATACTAAAAGTGAACATAGTTTGAAAACACCTCTTTGTCCCTATTCTCAGTGCAATGAAAATCGATGAGAACAGCACAGATAATTCATAAACAGGATATGCAATCATCTTATTATGGAGTCTTTTATTCCAATATACCTAATATACTCTACAGTTCTATCTCTCTAGCAGAGAGCACTGATAGAGACTAATAGTATTTTTATATTTTTTTTGAAAGACGTGTAATTTTGGGATCAGAACATTTTACTCATAAACTTACATAGCTTACTTTGACGATAATTTTAAAAAAATGCTTGCCTGATATTTCCTGATCAGGAGTCACTATT